ATCAAAACTTTGATTTCATTTTTTGAGACTTACAGACGGTCAATTTTATTTTAATAGGCCTTATTTTGTAGATAAATATCCAAAGAATAATTATGTGAAATTTAAAAAAAATCTGACGAAAACGAATTTACGCGACAAATACCTTAAACAACATTTGGTTAAAAACTTTAATTTTTTTGTATCTATTAAAATTGGAAAAAAGTTGCGTGATCTTGATTTGTCAAGTATTATTATTACAAGATTATATTATTATATATTATTTTTTTTAAAAGAAAAGAAAATTGTTTAATTTCTCTTTCTCAATAACAATTTTTTGAAAATATTCAAATTTTTCTTTAAAAATAGAGAAAAAAAGTTTGCTGCTTTTCTATTTTATTTTATTTTCTATTTTTAAAGTAATAAACATTTTTTAGAATGATTAGAAAATAAAAATTAATATAATACAATGGGAGATATGCATTAAATTTAAAAAAGAAATTACAGAAAAAACTAGTTAATTGAGACAAAACATTTATTATCATAGAGTCAAAAAAACGCGTCAACCGTGAATTGAATTTCTTTAGATTTTTGGAACCGTCAAAACATTTATAAAAATCTGTAGTTTACAACGAACCAAAAACACTTTTATACTTTTTATACATTTTTTATAATAACAAATTTATGCATCATTTAAGAAAAAATTATTAACTCAAAACAGGTTTGCTAAAAATTAATGGGGATGTTTTTAGTAGTCAGGGAACCTAAATTATAAAGAATTTAATTATATGCTTTTTGTTTAAAAAATAAGTTTTTTGAATTTTTGTCAAATATTAAAAAATTTCACAGCCTATTTAAGAAAAGTAATTATATTTTTTATATTCTTATATTCTTTGAATGAACATAAATTTAAAAGTAAACATAAAAAAAATTTTTGTGAAGAGGATGCAAAATTCACTATTTGATATTAATTAATATTGTTTATAACAATTTAAATAAAATATTTTTTAAACAAAAAGGACAAATATATTCTTCAAATAAATTTAAATTAAAAAAAAAATGTGAAAAAAATTCTTTAGTGGAGAGGAATCAAAGCTAACTATTTGTTAATTAATATTGTTTACAACAATTAAAAGTGTAGTTTTTGTTAGGGGCGTTGTAAAAAATTCTTGGTCATTTTATAGAAATTATGATAATTTTTTTCATCTATTTCTAAAAAAATCAAAATTTTATTAAAAATTATGTTTAAAAAATTAAGAAATTACTCAAATTTTAAAATTTTTTTTTAATAACCTTTAAAATTTTGTTAAATTATTTTCGACTTTTTTTAGAAATAAATAAAAGAAAATATAAAAATTCGTTCTGCCAGACAGAATTTTTTAACAACACTTATTTTTTAAAATAGAAAAGAATGAAAAAATTTGCTTTGTTAAAAAAATAATATTTTGATTTTGTTAAAAAAATTGTGATAAATACATAGAAATTATGCAAAAAAAATACTATACAAATATTGTTAAAACAATATGATTGGCAAAATTAATTACAAAATAGAAGTTTTAAAAAAAAAGTTGATGATGATATATAAATAGTCTAAATTTAATTATTTTTTTCTTCGATTTTAAATAAAGATAAAGAAATTATGCAAATTTTTCCATTAATTTCTGAAAGAAACTGAAATTAATTCATTTTTAGAAGTTTCAAAAATTAAATCTTATTAAAGAAATTCTTCAAATGAAATTAAATTTTGCTTTTTTACTAAAAAATGTGAATTGTTAATAGCCATATGATTGTTAAATATTTATTAACATTAGAAAGAGAAACTACACGCGCGCTTTTTAGCTATGTAAAATATAAAATAATCTTTATACACATAAAAAAATAAAAATTGTAATTATGAAATTCACAAATTCTACCTACAAATTTTTTTTTATTAATTTAAAAAAGAATAAAAATTGTGATTAAAGAACATAAATTACACAAATTTTTTTCCAAAAGAAACTAAAAATTTTAAAAAATAAACAAAAATATTATTGATAAATCAACATTACGAAAATTTCTTACCTTATTTTATAAAATAACTATCTTTTAACCTTTTTTCTTCGTAAACAATAAAAATTGAGATTGACAAATCGAAAAACTGTATAATTTCGATCTGTCAGGCAAAGTGTTTTTAAAAAGAAAAAACAAAAGCATACACAAAAACTAACTTCAAACTGCGGACAGAATGAATGAATGAAAATACGAAAATTATTATATGTAATAATAATAATTTTTTTACTATATTTAAAAATTCAATTTTTTCTTAAACCGAATTCCCTTTTTGAAAGTTAAAATCCCCCTTTTTACCCAATATATTGTATGAAAAAATCACTGTGATCCCGGTCATTAAAATTTATTCAAATTTCGCAAAAAATGAGTTCTTAGTAATAAGATTGTACTAATATTTCAGTAAGATTTAATTTTTTTACTATACATGTAAAATAAAATAATATTTCAAATTTTCTTGCAAAAATAGTATTACAAAATTTGTAAGAGGAGAGAGGGAGGTTATATTATTTGAGCCGGTGGATCCTAGAAGGGCACGTAAATTTTTAAAATTCACTAATAAATTAATAGATTTTTAAAAATATTTATTAGTAAAATTAAAATAAATCAAAAGCGAAAAGTCATTTATTAAATACAGTTAGTAATGATTTTTATTAATTCATAATATAATCTATAATAATAATAATAAAAGTAAATAATTATTAGATTTTGGATTAATTAAGAATGATTATTGCAGGCTTCATACTCATCCACTAAAACATACTATTTACTATGTACTTTTTTACGATTAGCTACTATTTGGGTCCATTTTTTCTAATTTTGTTACACTAAAAGCTACTTTTTTCTCTTTTTTTTTGAAAATTTGCACTAATTTAAATCTGCTAATAGTTGAATAAAAAAATTTATTCTCAAAAATTTTAATAAAATTCTTTGAAACAATTCAATTATTTTCACAAATAATGAAATTCTTCGCAGAAATTCAAATATTTTCAATATCTACTATTTTAATAAAATTTCTCAAAAAAATTGAATTATTTAAAAAAGAATTAATAAAATTCTTTGCAAAAATTCAATTATTTTCAAAGATAATAAAATTCTTTGTAAGATTTCAATTTTTTTTAATGCAATTTTAAATAACTTCCTTGAAAAATGTAATAGTTTTTAAAAATTTTATTAAAATTCTTCGAAAGAACTCAATTATTTTCAAAAATTTGATAAAATCCTTTATGAAAATTCAATTTTAAGAAATAATTGATTTTATTGTATCAGTTATTTATTTTTGTTTTTAAATAATTAAATTATTATAGAACTTCCTAATAAGATTTGATTCAAAAATGAATTTTAGTTAAATAACCTAAATGCGTTATAGTAAGAATTTTTAGAAGTAATTAAATTTAAAAAAAACTTTTACATTAAAATTATTTAGGATAATTTTAATTCTCCTGGAAAAATAAATAAGTATTTTTAAAATTTATTCAACGATAATATTTAAGTACCTATGAATATGAAAAATGAATAATTTAATTTAGAAATTATGAAAAAAATTCATCTTTTGAAAAATTATTCTAATTAGAATTTTTTGAATTTACTTAAATTCTCGTATAAATGAAAAATATTTGTTTTTTTTCAATCAATTGGAAATTTAGTCAAATTTAATATTTTAAAGAAATTTATTTTTTTACTTTTAAAAATTAGTTTTAAATATGTAGGTATAATCGATTTTTCGAAGAATTCTATCTACCTAAAAGTTTGGAAAATTATAATTGAATTTCATAAGAATTTAGAATTTAAGTTATTACCAGAAAAAAGTAAATATTTTTTATGGAAATCAGGAAAATGTCAGAAAAATTTTAGAGAATCGAATTTTTGTTATTTTTGTGATCGACGAAAACGAGTTACTTTTTTAAAATTAATTATTGAGTGCAAAGCCTGTTATGTTTATATAGTAAACAATTAAAAAATTAATACAATCTTTTTTGTTTTAGAATCATTTTTGCAAAATTTTAATAGTTTTCAATGTCTTAAAAAGAAAATAATTAAAGTTAATATATTTAAAAAAAAACTACTGTAAATAAAAATTTGTGTTTAATAATAATTTTTTTAAATAAATTCTGTCATAAATATTAGTTGAAATAATAGGTCAAGAATAAAAATTACTTAAATTTCAATGATTTTTATCATATTGAATGGAAACTAACGAAATCTTATACTTTTGAAGAAATTATCACTTACAAAAAGGGAACAATTGTTCCTTTTAATTTCTATAATTAGAAATTGTAACCATATTGATTTTTATCATTGAAACACTATTTTAACTTACTATTTAAAACAACTTTAAGGTTAAAGATATTTATGATAAGAAAAGTGAGAGGAATGAAAAGAAGATATGAATTATCTGCGTGAGTGAATTGTTGAAAATTTTTCTATCATTTCTTTTCATGATTGTTATCATGATTATAATTAACCTAAAATTTTTAAAAATTGTAAGTTTTGCAAATGTCAGTGTTTTTGTATAAAAAGATTGTTCTATTTCTTTTATAATTTTGTTAAATCTGATTTCAAATGTTTTTCTGTAAATGTTATTTTGAATATTTCATAATTTTCTGTTTTTTTTAATTCGCATGTAATTTTACAAAAATTGATTTGTGATATTGCAATATTGTTACAACTTTTATAATATATAATTGTCTTTTTTCTGCTTTTTTCAAAAAATTTGATTGATTTTAGTTGTGAAAGCGTATTTGTCAATTTGGCATAATATGTTGTTAATATAAATGTCGCAATAATTTCAATTTTTCTATAATTTTTTTCTGTAGTAATTAAAATTAAATTAAATTAAATTAAAAGATAATTGTAATAGAAAATTAAAAATAGCATTAAGATTACTTATTAAAATGCAAAATATATTTTAATATAATTTTTTGTCAGTTTGGAAAGTGTTTTTTGTATGTTTGTTAAATTTTTTTATGTTCTAACAGGTTAAAGGAACTTCACAAAATAGCGAGCCAGGAACGAAAACTTATGTTACAAAAACATAAAGATATGTTTAATCCTGAAATGTCGACGAAAAATATTTTAACTAAACTCAAGAGAAGTGCAGACTGTCAATCCCCACGACGTTTATCAGGTCCAATGAAGGGTTACGATATTCGTAGTAATAGTTCCATGAGCTCATTAGTTGATTCAGATAAATCGCAATTAGACAGATCTCAACTGGACATGAAGCTCAAGACATGCGATACTAATTTTCAAAAAAGTAATAAACAGTTTTTAAAAGTGAATGTTGATGGCGTTACGACTGAGGTATTTTTCTTAAATTATCTTTACAAGATTTCTTTAAAATCTGGCTTTATTTAATTATTTTTAAAATGTTTATTTTCAGTTTCATAAATGGAATAGCGATAATTTGGAGACTATTAATGTTAAGAATGGCGAAACTGTATCCAACATTTGTAAACCATATATTGTAAAGCCTGTTAAAAATGCCAAATATGATATTAAATCTCGCAAATTTGAAGAGAAAATGCCCGGAGGCGATGTTTTACGTCAAATTGAATTGCACTCGAAATTAAAACGCGATTATCTTTGTGAACTGCCTGAATCGAGTAAAGAAAGTGAGAATCTTTGTTCGCCAAAATCTAGTGAGAAGATACCTGATTCTGATACAGATTCGAGAAAATCGAAAAATATAAGTGTAGATCATGATATTTTGAAAAATCGAACACAAAGAATAAATTCCGATTCTGATCTTAATGATAGACTAAAGAAGGGACAAACATCAGCCGTTGTTGACGAATTTTTACAAATAAATTCGAAATATTCAAAGAAAATTGAGAAGGACGTGTCTGCAGATAAAGGCACTTTTAAAAAAATTGAACACACTCCAGACGGGAAGCCAAATTCCAAGCGTAAAGTTTACAAAAATCAGAAGACAAAAGTAGCCGATGATTCGTTGGATAATACCTTAAAATCAAAAAGCGATTTACAAATTTGCCAAGAACTTTCTGGACATCATAATAAACGTTCGAAATTAGATACCGAACAATCAGATGACAATTATCATAATTCAATTTTGGAAAAATTCGACTTTAGTGAGAGTCAAAATTCTTTGCATGCTTTATTGAAACACTCAAAGGAAGTGAATGACAAAAATTATCAACTTCTAAGAGATATTACCAGCGATTCAGAGGACAGAGGAAACATTGAGACCTTCGATGCACTAGATAAAAGGGGTGAAGAAGCAAACAATTTTTCCCAAAAGGATAAAGTTGGTAATTTGTCAACAAGATCTCAAGTGAGTACATTGACAATTTCCCGTCACAGTTCAGGCGACAGTGAAAAGAGTTATTCCAGATCTGTTGTTATTCGATCACACGATCATCGTATTAAAACGTCCAAGAAACTCGAACAGTAAGAATCATTTATATTATTTAAAAAAAATTTTATTTATTAAAATTCTCTTTATTGAATTTTTATTATAAAATCAAGAAGAATATTTATTAGAATATTTTATACCACCAAAATTTATTAATTAAAAACATAATTATTGTGTTTTTATATTATTTGAACAAAGTATTGTTTTTAAAGAAATCAAGGATAAAAATGTTTACTTCACTGAATTTTTGCAGGATTGACACAGGTCAGGGATTTTATCAAATTTTATCAAAAGTATTGGAAAACTATAAAATTTCTACAATTCATAAGAAAATTTTGAATTTTGTTGTTCAACAGCATTTAAAAAAAGAAAATATTCAATTTAACTTTAACCTTTAAAGTGCTATGCCGGTCTGACAGACCGCTATTAAAATTTTCTTTGCTTGAAACTTTTTTTCAATGTATAATAAGAACTTGAACTTTTTAGTAGCTTCATATTTTATGAAAATCTGTTAGGAGACAACTTTTTCAAAAATTTTTATTCGTTAAATTTTGTAATATAAATAAATATTTGAAGTATAGCGGTCTGTGAGACCGGGGTTAGCTTTAAGTGAAAGTATATTCCAGTATATTCCCATGAGTGACGTCTGCGCAACTTGACGCGCAGCTAGTTCTACTGATAGTTCTCATAGACTGCATTTATAAAATAAATAAAATAAATAAATGCATAATACAGAAATGACTTTTTTTGTTAAAAAGTAAAAAATATTTATAATAGTTGTCTTTTAAAAATTATAAATGACTAAAAAACTGTCAAAAGGGAATAGCGGTCTGACAGACCGGGGTTAGCACTGAGCGTGATTTTTCAACACTTAGCACTTTAAAGGTTAATTTAATTTAATAATTATATATTATTTTGAAAACCTTTAATCACATTCTTTAAAACAATTCAATTATTTTCAAAAATTTTAATAAAAATCTTTGCACGAATTCAATTATTTTCATAAATAGTAAAATTCTTCGCGGAAATTCAATTATTTTAAATACACTTTCAATAAAATTTCTCGAAAGAATTCAATTATTTTTAAAAAAAATTCTACATAAGAATTGAATTATTTTCAATACAATTTTAATTAAATTCGTCGAAAAAATTTGCAAGAAGTCAATTATTTTCATTTAAATAATAAGTCTTTGCAGGAATTCAATTATAATAAAATTATATTATTTGTCGGTTTTGTTCGTATAAATACTTATGTTTAAAAATTTGTAATTATTAGAAAATTGTATTCGAACTTTGAATAAGTAGACAAATAAGTAGAAATATGATTTAATTTGTTCAAACTAAAACTGTTTTTTGAAAATTTTATCTATTAAAAACTTGAAAATGCGCTTTTAGTAATAATAATTTTTTACTTGTATTTTCAATAAGAAAGAAAAGTTAACAAATTCAGAAAATCTAGTACGATTGTGAAATTTAGTTTATAGATAAATAATTTGCAAGGGGTGAACAACTCGTGAATTATGGTGTACTCTTGTATTGAATTACTAATGTGAATTACCATGAATTACCGTAAATTACTAAATTATTATTGTAGTAGATGTACACCAAATTCTTTAGTTGTTTGCCCCTCGATAATTTGTTAAAATTATTCTTGATATTAAATAATTTCAATAATTTTTAATATTAGATTTTTTGGTTTTTTTATAACAAAGTGATAATATTTTTTTATACTTTTTAATGTTTCAAAGAATATGGTTTACCATTAAGTCAAAAAGGCCTTTTGAAAAGATTAACAAAAACAATTTATTTAAAAAATATTTTCTAATAAAACTTATTTTCGACTGATATGTCATTAAAAACTTCCTTGCTTTCTTTATGACGTTTGATTGTGAATTTCTTAATTTCGATGAAAGGAAATGCAAATTAAAAAGAAATTATAAAAATATATTAATAAAAAAATTTGTTAAGTTAAACTTTCTTTCCCAGGCTTTTGATTTCTAATAATAGTCGCAAAACGTGTGTTCACCACGATGTGAGCCACTGTAAAAATAGAATCTCTGTAGTGGCTATGTGCATTATATAGTTTGTACTTAACTAAGAGATATTGTCTGAAAAAAACAATGTTGTCAATATTTTGATTCGTTTGTTTTCTTTTTTTCTTCTCAAAATTAGTTATTTTTGTTCAGTGATGTTGTTATGGAGATCAGAATTAGTTTTCTAAAATTAATATTTTTCGACTTTTTTCAACTTTTAGTTTTTAAAAATATGAAAAGGTAATATAATGATTTGATTGCTTTATTTTTTAGAATTTTAAATGCACGTGAAGCTGCACTCGCTTCGCGCAGAAGTTGCGTTGAAGAGTGGATCGCCTGGCACACTAGACTTCGTGAAGAAGAAAGTCGCGTGGCACGCATGGAACAAGCTGCCTATAAACTTGTTAATGCAACTTCAAAAGCACTTTTTTATCATGGTTAGTATCTTATGTTTATCATAATCAAAATTCCCTCAACTATTTTTCACATAAGTTGTATTCTTTTTTAGTTTTTTCTAAATGTTTATCCAATGACAAACGTTAACGATTGTTTGAAGAAAATTGAAACTTTTTATAGAGGTTGATTTTTGTAAATTATTTAGAAAATATTTTAAATTATTAAAGTTATTAACTATCTGAAAAACTAGAAAACTAGAAATAGATTTTACGATCAGTTAAAAACGTCCATAAACTATTTCTGTTAAGAAATAATGAAATAATGACATTTTATAGATACTAGCGTTTCATCCGAGGCTAGTGATGTAGAAGGACGAATTGATGCTTTGGCGCAAAAGTTAGCAGATCGTCGTGCAGAGATGGCGAAATTAAAGAAAGAAGCCAAAAGACAAGCGAAACAGAGGCTTCGTGCTATGGAAGTCAGTTTACTCAATCAAATTAAGGTAAATTTTCTACTTTACTTCATCAAATTTCTTCATAAAATAGGTTTATTAATATCCAATTAAATGTTAATTTTTTGCTTTTTTTAAATAGAAATACGATGCAACTATCCATGAAATGCGCAAAACATTAGAAACGAAGAAGGAGAGTATGAAAAATTGTGAAAAAATGCCAATTGAATCAAAATCAGTTTCCGACTTTAGAGTACCGAAAATTCCCATTAAAAAGATTCATGACATTTGTAAAAGCAGTGATTTATTGCCGCAACCGGAATCTGAAGAAGATATTCAAGATAAAATTGCTCAAAGTACGAAATTATTGAGAAACCGTTTAAATGACCACGAGATCACGAAGCATTCAAATTTTCCCATCAGTAACGAATTGAATCAACGAACTCTCGAGGAAATTGAAAATCTAAAATCATTCAATGAAGACACAAATAAATCTTGTCAATCTAGGAGTGAATTTAATTCTTCATCACGCAGGAGTAATCAACACTTAGATCATTCAAAAAATCATTCACATCTTCAAGTTACAAATAGTTCCGAGTCTAAAAATAATTCACACAATATTGTAGAAAAATCAACAACAAAAGAAAATCAATTAAGTAACACAGAGAAAGACAAATATTTGGATTCAGTGGCATATTCCATTGAAAATGAAATACCAACAAATTCTTCGGAAAATATTTCTTTATCATTTTCGAAAAAATTGGATTCCTTGGGAGCAAATGGAAAAAATTTAAATGACGATATAAGTGTTCTGGAAAGTGATCTTAAAACACTTTCAGAAATGATGCTTCAGATTAGTAGCAAAAAGTCAATTAATAAATTAACAACCCTCAATCAGAGTGAAAATACATGCAGCCAGAAGCAATCTTTTCAAGAACCAAATTTTGAATTGAATAAAAATTTATCTGTATCTCTATTAACAAAAACCGATGTTATTGATGACGCTGACAGTATTAATGAAGTTGACGATATTATTTCCAATGATGATAAAATAGATGAAAGTTTCGAGGACAAGTTATCGAAAAAAATTGACTTTAAAGCAAAGAGTAAAGAGATACTAAATGAAATTGAGAAATCGATAATATGCGATCATATGAAAACTTTAGAAATTCAAGCTCATCAAACTTTTGAAGAAGGCTTAGACAATCTACAAAAGAAAAGCAAAATTTTGTCAAGTGATTTACTTTCATTGGAGGATGATACGAAATCAATTTCGGAAATTTTATCAGAAACTGCTGAAAGTAAAAGTGTGTCTGAAAATACAAGTGCCATGTACGATAATGAAATATCAAAGTTTTTGAAAGAACATTCGAATAATTCGGAAAATAAATTTATCGAAAATAATGAAACATTAATATTTAATAAACTTCAAAATACAAGTGAAAATTTAGAAAATTTACCAAGAAGCCAATGTGTGAAAAATAATGGCAACTGTCAAGAAATTCAAGAAAAAAGTAACACAGAAGAGTATACAGCGATATTGGAGAATTCAGAAGAAAATAAATTAAGTGAGAAATCGACGAAAACCACATACGAATCGAAAGTTTCGTCTCCAGAATTTAGCGACGTTGAAAGTTGTGTTGATTTCATTAAAGAAAAAGATTCACCAATTTTTGATTCACTTGAATTTTCAAGTCCATTTAGAGACGAACAAATAATTCCTTCTCGAGAAATCGAAAAATCACAATCTGAAGAAGAAATACCAAATGTCGAAGATCAATCAAAGAGCGTGGAGAAAATAGAATCTGATTCATTATTAAATTTTGGAGACAAATTAATAAATGTCGAAAAAATTACATCTAATTCGGAAAAAGAAGTAATTAGCGAGATTCTAAACTCAAACGAAACTGTAAGTACAAATGGTTCGAATGATTTGGAATTAAATTCGGAACAAAATTTAGAACAATCACCAAACGATGAAACGTGGTTCATTGAAAAGAATTCTGATATACTGAGTTCAACAAAAAAGGATGAATTTTCACCTTCCATTCCAATGAAATCAAACCTAAGCTCAAACCGCATTCTCGACACCACACAGACTGCGAAATCATCCCTTTTAACAAATATTCCATTACCTGAAGTGGAAGACGACATGGGAGAGTCGATACAAAAATTATTCTCACCTAAAATTTCAGTTACAGTGGAACCACAAATTCTACAAGTCAACAATATTTTAACAAATGATTTCGAAATTAGGGAATATTCAGAATCGACAGAGGAGCAATATAGTTCAGAAGGTGAGCAATTAGACAATTTAGTAGAAATAGCTGAAGGTAAATTAGAAACATTAGAGAAATCTCATGAAAATTCAAGTTCAAAATCGGAGAATTGTGAAAATCCTATGAAAACGTTTACAATTTTAGAGGAGAATCTTAATATTTCACAAACAGATGAAAATGATTTAAACGATTCTCAAAAATCAGAGGATGAGAGGTATACTCTTGGAAAAGTTAACGAAATACAATCATTTATTGAGCAAGATGATAAAGATGAAAGGATTGATGATCGTCAAACTTGTGTTGATGAATATTATGTAGATGAAAAGCATACAAGTGATGATTCTTCAGAATCTAGTGAAGAAGATACGAACAAAGATACATCTGAGCCTATAATTACCTCACCAAGAGACAAGGATGACTCAAGATTGGAAATCGATAGTTTAAACGATGATTTGTTAAGCAGCATTTCGATTCATCAAAATTTGGAATCCAAAGGGGACTATCAAGTAACGCCTATTGTCACAAATGCAGAGAAGGAAATTATGGCAACGATAGACAAATTGAAAGGTAACAATTTAATCTTTAATGTTCAACTCTAACACTTATAGTCAATACCCTCCTCTTTAATTCATTCAGAACTTGCCTTTCCTCATTTCACGATTCTATTCAAATTTACATTTTTTACTCCACCTTCCTATCTCTTTCAATATAATTATAAGTATTTGCTTAACCCTCCATCCGTCGCATCTTTTTTTGTAACGCGATTCGTCGCAGGTGAGGAAAATTCTCACCCTCATAAATTAGTCCAAACTTGTTGTAAAATGCCAAATTTTTTCTTGAACGTTCATTAGAATTTCTAAACAACCTATTGGCAGTAAAATTAACTTTTATTTCCTGTTAATTATTTAAATAAGAAATTAATGACAAATGAAATCGAGTATACGCGGTCAGTCGCGTGGTGAGAAGTTTCCTCACTTTGCGTCAAAAATCCCCGACATTTGCTGCTTTCAAATTCAATAACAAAAAAATTTAAATATAAAAAAACACAAAAATTGTTTTAATGTAAAAAAGAAGAGTGCTGTAAAAGGTACTGAGAATATGAAATTATAATTTTTTGTATTTTAAAAGTTATAAATAAAAAAAGAAACTGGGTAAGGAAACTTCTCACCATGCGACGGATGGAGGGTTAACAACTGATTAAAAATTGCCAGACTCGTTAAAAAAAAGTCTACTACACACTTTGTTGCTCTCCATTTTAGGCGAGTTGCCGAACCGTGTTTAAGTAACTTCAGACCTAAACCTAAACGTTCTAAAGTAACAATTTTCAAAGGAACCTAATCAACTTGTAAAAATTTATTCGGACATATTGGATCCGCCATTTTGAGTATTTTTAAATATAACACTGGATTTGTAATCAACGACCCCAAAAAACCCCCGAGTAATAAATTTTAAACAATTGTGGAACATTTTCAAAAATTTGTCCACCATATTAGATCGACCACTTTGAATTTTGAGAAACTGACATTAAATTCGTAATCAGTTACCCAAAAAACTATAACAGGGTTGCCACAGGTCAGGAAAATCAGGAAATTCAGGGAAAAGTCAGGGATTTTTATTAAAGTACTGGCAAAAATTGAATTTTGGAGAAGTTACAAATGATTGCAGAAATTCAATTATTTTCAAAAGTAATAAAATTTTTCGCTAAAATTCAATTATGTTCAAAAATTTGAAAAAAAATTCTAATCAAAATTTAAATAATAAAACTCATCGCAGAATTTCAACTATTTTTAATCAAAACCTGACTCGGAATGATCGTTAAATTCAATGTTTATTAAATATTTTTAATCAAATTTTAATCTAATTCCTCGAAAAATGTAATTATTCTTGAAAATTTCATTAAAATTCGTCGAAATAATTCAATTATTTAAAAATTTCTTGATAAAATTCTTTATAAGAATTCAATTTTGAGAAAAATTCATTTATTCAATAAATTATTTACTTTTATATTTAAATAATTGAATTCTCGTAGAAATTTCTAATAAAAATTGATTTAAATATGAATTTCAGTTAAAATTTTAGATAATAATTAATTTTTAGAGTGAATCAGAATATTCTTTAGGGTCAGGGAAAAAGTAAAAATTTTGTCTGGAAATCAGGGAAAAGTCAGGGAAAAAACAAAATTAATTTTTTGTGGCAACCCTGTATAAGAACCACTGTAAACTTTTTTTTAAGCTTTCATGCTGGGGTATAAAAGAATATACAGTTTCATTTTAAAAGTTTTTAACCATTTGATATCCCTTAGTAAGACAACCAACAAATCAAAGATATCTACCACTCACACCAAGTTACCCCAACTTTAAGCTATATATATGTCGTGGCCACTTAGACGAATCCGACATTAAGCTAAGTGTCCAGACAGTTAGCTAACTGCTGACAGTTAGACGAATACACGTCGATATCGTCTAATTGTATAAGCAGTAAGCTAAATGTCCGACACTTAGCTTACTGTCCACCGCCATTTGGACATTTAGAGTAAAATAGCTAAATGAATAAATTCATTTCATCTATACCAAAATAATTTATTTAATGCGGCCAATAAAAAAACAAATTTTACATTTATTATTAGTCAGCTTAATATCCACCGCCATTTCGTCATTTACAGTAAAATATTGCTCAATGAAAAAAAAAATTATTTATTGTGATAACAAAAAAAATTAACAAATTATTTATTTTTGCACGGATTGGTATGGTGGCATCGAGAACCACATATAATATTTGCTTTAAAGCAAGAACAGCGTTTAGTACAGCACTGCTCTTTTGTCGCTTTGCAGTTACATTTTTTGTAACCCTGTCCACCTGTACTCGATTGAGCTGCTATTACAAATTAATTTACATTAAATATAATAATTATAAAATAATTATTTCGATGACACCATGCCAATTCGTGCAAAAATAAATAATTTGTTAATTTTTTTTGTTATCACAATAAATAATTTTTTTTTTCATTGAGAAATATTTTACTGTAAATGACGAAATGGCGGTGGACAGTAAGCTAAGTGTCGGACATTTAGCTTACTGCTTAGACAATTAGACGATATCGACGTGTATTCGTCTAACTGTCAGCAGTTAGCTAACTGTCTGGACACTTAGCTTAATGTCGGATTCGTCTAAGTGGCCACGACATATATATGTCGTAGGCAGATAGCATAATCCGGCAGTAGGCAAACTGCCTAGGCAGTTGGCCAACCGCTGGCAGTTAGCAGAATGACTGGTTTAAAATGAATTCAATTAGTCATTTAGTCAACTGCCTAGGCAGTTTGCAAACTGACCAAGACGTTTCAGGCAATTAGAAAAAAAGAAGATATATTCAAAAATCGAAATATTGTAATAAATGATATTAAAGGAAATATTGTAATTTATTAACATTTGTTATTCACATGTACAAAGTAAACAAATATAAGAAGTTATTGAAAAGAATATTGTTGTTTTCTTACATTATATAAATAAAATATTAGGGCCTTAATTTCGAAAACGATTTAACTACAAAATTCATCAAATATTATTTTAGTTTCGAAAAGTCGTTTGCAAATTTCAGCTGCGTCTTATTCATCCAGTTAATAAAATTCAATTTTTTTAATTAAGTGGAATATTAGTGTTTAAATTTAAAATGGAAGGAAATGCAGTTAATCAATCTGAGTTTGAGTTAAATCGTTTTCGAAATTAAGGCCCTAATAATTTATTTATATAATGTAAGAAAACAACAATATTCTTTTGAATAACTTCTTATATTTGTTTACTTTGTACATGTGAATAACAAATGTTAATAAATTACAATATTTCCTTTAATATCATTTATTACAATATTTCGATTTTTGAATATATCTTCTTTTTTTCTAATTGCCTGAAACGTCTTGGTCAGTTTGCAAACTGCCTAGGCAGTTGACTAAATGACTAATTGAATTCATTTTAAACCAGTCATTCTGCTAACTGCCAGCGGTTGGCCAACTGCCTAGGCAGTTTGCCTACTGCCGGATTATGCTATCTGCCTACGACATATATATATATATATATATATATATATATATGGGGCATTCCACGCCAAATCGGAAATCATTTTGCTTTTGCATCTCAAATTTTTTTTATACATTTTTTTCTTTTAGTACTCTTTGAAATGAGCTACCATGATTTTTTTTCAAATTTTTTCATAATGCGGTTCAGGAGATACAGATTTTTGAAAAATGACGTTTTTTACATAAATTTTTTTAAATGCTTATAACTCGGTCAAAAATAGATCAAATTGGACGTTTTTATAATGAAAAGTTTTGTTTTACGCGTAGTTTTTAATCAAAATATTTTAAAAAAATTTAAAAATAATTTACGATAAGATTTTAAAATTTTTAAAATAAAATTTCATTTTTAACAATGTATGTATCGATCAATTTTTTTCAAAATTTTTTGTAAGAAACTAGCACTAAATTCACGGGGGTGAAACGCAATGTAAAACTGATGGCAGAGCAATACACTAGTCATTGCGCTACTATAGAAATAGGCATATCTTTGACTTCAGCAGTTTTGCGCGGCAACATGGCGGCGCTGGGCGGGGAATTTTAAATTCTTGTAATTTATATATGTATATTTAAAGTACACTCTAAATCTGAATCAGTGAAAATTCCATTGATTTCAATTCAGTGGCCCAGGTTTCTTTGATAAATCAGTGGTTTTAACTTATTCTCAGTAAAATTCCACTAATCAATTAAAGAAAACTGGGCCACTGAATTAGAATCAATAAAATTTTCAGATTCAGATTTAGAGTGTTGTATAAACACTATACTAATAATAAAAAAAACCTTTTTTTGATAAAATACTTTCTGTATTTAAATCAAAAAGGTTTTTTTTATTAGTAGTGATTTACAATTTTAACTTATTCTTTTTATCTAAGTGTCTTCTGGGAAAAGTAATAACAAAGCTAACTCGATAAAATTACTTTGAAAAGAAATAAGACAAAGTATTTTAGTGTAAACAAAAATATAATTTATTTATCATTTTTAAATATATACACATACTTGACAATACAATTTTTTTAAATTGAAAAATGAAACACTTAACATGACAATATAAATTATATTAAATCGTTTTTTCCAAATATTTCCGAAACTTTAATTCACCATTTTTTAGAAATATTTGCAAAAACCGTTTTTAAAAATTTAGAAACACATAACATATAAAAATAACGAGAATATTTTTATAATAATAGAGAAAATTTTTTTATAGTACTATTTATATATATATATATATATTATATTACATAAATATATTAAAATTAAATAGAAAAATATTATTTTGACGCGTTAGTCAAAGAGAACAATTACAATTAATATTAGAATAATAATAATAATCGTCGTAAAAAATTTCTTATTTATTTAAAAGAATATTAAAAATTCGTTTTTACACTTACAATAAATAATGAAAACACTGCTGCGCTGCGACAAATGTCAATATTGCAGAATTGTCGAAATTCGCTCTTCTTCTCAATAAATGCTGGAATAATGCTGAAAGGAAAAGTAAACAATTAGTATAGTTCATGAAATCTTAAAGTTATTTCAATTTTATTCCTTAATATTTTTTATATTATTTAATAAACACTCTTTTATTTATATATGTAATATAAATTATAATAAATTTAAAAAACAATCAAGCTGAATTGTAATTCTAACCTACAAAAACATAACATGCATTAATTATTTCTAAATTTTTTTGGAAACTTTTTAATTATAAGCTTGGGGTACTTACCATTGATTAACCTCAAATTTTTTTCATATTTGCACGTAAAAGCACTATTCGAATTTCACAGGTGAGATATTTATAAGTATCTCAAGTATCTTGTTACCTTGTTGTGATGTTGTTGTGACATCTTGTTTATGTACTTTATCCACCATTGTACTGCTGGAGTCATCAAGCGACCATTAGAATTAAGAAAATAGTATCTTCAAAACTCCAGCAGTTTTGCGCGGCAGTGACGTCACAAAAAATGCTCCCCTTCCACTAAGCGTTTCACCCCCGTGACTAAATTAACAGTTTTTAAGCCATGTCCGATCGTGGGCAAACAATGGGATCTATTTATTTTGAAATTTTTAATTTTTATATACGCAGTGGTGGCCAAATGACTAACTTGCCATTTGAGGAGCTGTATCGAAGAACTCGCTCGACGCTCGAACAAAAGGGATAATACCAGTCAGGTAGCAGTGAACGACCCAGAGGTCCTCACTGCTACCTGACTGGTATTATCCCCTTTTTTCGAGCGTCGAGCGAGTTCTTCGATACAGCTCCTCATTTGACAAAATCACACAAATTCTTCACAGCAAATGTGTTTTTAGGCTGAGTCTCTCCAAACTTAACCTTCTTTCTGTGTAAAATTGTGATTTGGTCAAATAGCAAGTTAGGCCTACCGTTTTCACTGTGTATATAAAAATTAAAAATTTCAAAATAAATAGATCCCATCGTTTGCTTACGATCGGACAAGGCTTAAAAATTGTTAATTTAGAGCTATTTTTTTACAAAAAATTTTGAAAAAAATTGATCGATACATACATTGTTAAAAATGAAATTTTATTTTAAAAATTTTAAAATCTTATCGTAAATTATTTAAAATTTTTTTAAAAATATTTTTATTAAAAACTACGCGTAAAAACAAAACTTTTCACTATAAAAACGTCCAATTTGATCAATTTTTGACTGAGTTACAAGCATTTAAAGAAAAAATTTACGTAAAATACGTCATTTTTCAAAAATGTGTATCTCCTGAACCGCTGAATGAAAAAATTTGAAAAAAATCAAGGTAGCTCATTTCAAAGAGTACTAAAAGAAAAAAAATTTGAGATGCAAAAGCAAAATAATTTCCGATGTGGCCTGGAATGTCCCATATGTAACTCACTTTTGAAATTAAAAATAAATCTTATACAAGAATTGAGGATCTTCTCAAGTTTATGAATAATTTAATTCATCAGTTATGTTACACTGGTTTTCAGAATTTTACTACAAGAATAAAAGATGGTGGTTCTTATAGAATTTTTGTCCTACATTACGAATTTGAGAGTAAAGTCTTTCCATTAAGTTTCAATTTTGAGAAAAACGGGAGTTAAGGGTCAAAAAGTCACATTTTTGGCACTTTTTGAAGCACTTTAAATATGACTTAAATCAAGGGGACAAATTGATAACAAATCTGATGCTAAATTTTGAAATTCATTATGGCGGATCCAATATGTCGGAAGACTTTTTAAAAATTGATCCAATGCGCTTGAGATTTGATACTCAGGTGCTTATACTGTAAAAATTTGTTCTCGACAAATTTTTTTGCTTCTGAAGATTAAAGTGGGAAAGTTTGAACTCGCATTTAAGATGCATTTGAACTGATAAGCCTTTACCTTATCTCAACTATCTCAATATATAGAAGTACAATAATAATAGTTTTCTATTATTTTTAATGTCAATTCCAGATGATTTTTTGTTTCCTAGCAAGCAATAGCAATTTCATCTATTAGTTACTGACAAAAGAATGTGTTATTTTGCAGCATCTCTTAAGCAACCTGGTCTGGAAGTTTCAGAATTGGATGCTACCCTTCTGAGAATAGAACAACTTCAAATTGAACTTGAGGTAAGTTTTGTGTTGATAAGACAAATTTAGTAAGAACATTCATCAAACACTTTTCTAAAAAACATAACAGGGTTCAACTATACTTTGAGAACATTAAGTTCACAGTCTAATGAAATAAGTATTTGTGAAACACTGAAACGTTCCAATATACACGCATCAAACACATTTATTGTGTTCTTAAACACGCAATTTACATGGAATAAACATTTTATAAAACACTATTTCCAATTTTTTCGACAGGGTTTAAATGGGTTTTGATATTGTTATAGAATTTAATAAAATTCTTATTTGTCAGGATTTAAACATATGATTTTAAAGCCATGATAAAATTTATAGTAAACTGCCAATTCTTATATAAATAGAGTTTACAGTATTTGGATACTCTCATTTACACGCACTGAAACGGGATCACTCGCTACGAGAATCCTTAAATTGTGCTATCGAACCTTTTTCTTGTAAAACTCGAAAAAATTCTCAAAAGGGTTCATAAACAAAACCTTTCCTGTTCAAAACAGACACGTGACACTTGTACCTGGAAAATAAAATTATATTACATTTAAGAGAGAGAAATAAATAATCGTTAACAATATTAGGAGTGCACCCAGTTAAAAATCCCTTTGCAGGATACTTAAGGGATCCTGTTCCTCCACAGGAACCTTGAAGGATCCTCCAGAGTTCCTTTACAATATCCTACATAGGATCGTGAACTGTGCATACGAGAAACTCAGAAAACTACTGCGCAGGATGTTAAAAAGTAAATAAATTAATTCAGAAAAGCATGCAAGATCATTAACGGATCCAACCGTTTACAAGATACGAATTTTTCAAAATTTTACGTTTGAAAAAATATTTTTTTTTGAATGCTCATAACTTCTACAAATGTGGATCAGTTTTAAACTTTCTTACATGAAAATTGTGTGCTTTTTGATAAACTTTTCAAAAATTTTATAAAAAAAAATTTTAAATTAAAACTTAATTTTTAAATCTGTTTGTATCCTTCGATTTTTTTTAAATTCCAAAAAAAAATACTTCCATTTACGCAAATTTTAATCCTGTTCGGGGGAAATGATTTTGATTATTTTTTCAGAATTTTTCAAAATTATCGAAATTCAGTATTTGCTCATTTAGCCGCTGCATTGCGCAACAAAGTGAGTTTTCAGCATTCGGTTTTGCCTAACATCAATATTAAAATAAAATTACTTAAAAAGTCCAGTGATACAAAAAAATTAATTTTTAAAAATATTTTTTTATTGTCCGGTTTAGAAAATATAAGGGGTTAAAGTGGACAATGTCAAATAATAAAAATATAGCGATTTCACATTTATACTCGAATAATAATGTTAAAAAATGTCCAAATGGTTCCTTTAAGGGGGGACATCTAAGTAACTCACGAGAAATAGGCTTAAAATTTGCGAAAAGGGAAGTATTTTTTGGGAATTTAAAAAAAAAATCCACAGTGGGCCAGTACGCATCTAAAGGCGGACAAAAGTCCACTTTAGAATTATAAATTTTACATATAATACCTAACCTAACTCTATAGTATTTTATATAACTTTTTGTAGAATATTAAAGTTATTTGTCAAATATTATAGCGGTGATTGTATATTTATTAAAAAGTTTGATTAACAAATTTAAAGGATTTTGACGACTTAAATACTTATTTATTTTTTTACAAATGATTATTTTTCTGACTTTTAAATTTTATTTTGTTAAATTTTCCATTTTTCGAATTTCATTTGATATTATTTGGTACTTCTCCTAACTTCTGCATTATATTCAATAAGCTAAACATGAAATCTCTTCTAAATTTAATGTAGTATTAGATTAATTTCGCCATTTTTATTCATTTTGTATTTTAAAAAAATTATAAGCGAAGTAATGCATAGTGGTCAAGGAGACCATTATTAAAAAAATTCTATTGGAAAAAATAAAAATTTTATACTTTTGATCTAAGGAAAGCTTAACTTTGGGCTTAGATAACTTTTGTTGTAGTAGCTGAAATTCCATGTTTCTTGTACTCACGGCTTCAGTATATCTTCAACTAAGTGTTCTGATTGGTATTATGGAATAACAGTTAAGTTACGAACAAATTACAAAATAGTGGCATTTGGGGCAAGATGATCCCTCAATGGGTGTACAAGATGATCCCCCCTGATTCCCATGTATTTCGTCTCACCTCAAAGTGAATTTTCTAGTAATAATAAAAAATTCAATTTTTCTCGCTTCTTATATTTTTTTATTATGAAAACTAACTTATCTAAACCAAAAAGTTGACATCTACATCTATTTTATTAATTTTCTCGTTGTAGACAATGCCTCGTAATTATAAAATAGGAAAACGAATCGTGGTGAGTGGTCAAAAGCGTTTATGGCCTAAATAAAGTATATTTAACATTAATACACTGTTATTCCTTCAATTTATACTCATTTTCCAATAATTGGGGTAAGATAACCCTACGGATCATCTTGCCCATACCATGGGAATCATCTTGGACACCCCGGTGTCCAAGATGATCATTTTGTAAGGTTTTAGAAAAATTAAATTTAATAGTAAAGTATTAATTAGCTGCAAATATTTCAAATCAGAATAGTTAGATAGATTAATTATCTAGTAGTGCGTACAAAAAAAAACTCGAATATGTTGATTTTTCTTTGAATAACAGGTTTTTTCCCTTAGGGGGATCATCTCGTACACCTTTCCCCTAAGTGCTGTCACGATTCTATGCAGGATATTGTGAAACATTCCTGAAGGATTCTTCAAGGTGCCTGTAGAGGAACATTAAAGGATCCTCTAAAGAGATTTTTACTGGGCAAAATTGAGTCAGATCTTATTTACAAGCACGAAGTTGTACAGTGGAATGTCTCTAATTTAAATATTTTAAAAGAGGGAGGGGGTCTTGAAATTATAGACTCGAGGCGCAATAGGGGAAATTACAATACATCGATTATACCCGTGTAGAAATTGCCATATTTTGGCCATAATATGTCATGAAACATAGGAAGGTGTTTCAATATCAATAATAGGAACGCCAGTTCGGGCCCATATTAGGGCCATGGCAAAATTTCTACACGGGCATTTTGTAATATTGATTATTTATAAAGTGTAAACATATTACAAAAATAGAAATTAATTATAGCGAGCACGGCACTCTCTTATAACAAACTACTGGGGTTCAAAGGCGCTGAATCCACGCCCACAGACTTCTAGAAGTCATGCGCGCGACTCAATGCCTGTTACCCCTTCCACTTCCGCCAGCGTCACCCCGCAAACAAAAAAAGCGGCAGATAATCGGAAAGGGTCCGCGTTGTGAATGCCAATAAAAAGTCTCTTCCACACGCGGTCCTTATCGTACCGGGTCCCACATCCGCGGATGCGAGCACAAGCGAGGAAGTAAACTCGCGATCACTTCCACTTTAAACACGACAAAGGAGGGAATCCAGGTATGCGGACTGCGTAGAATGGACTCTTCCGGCTTCATTGTGGAGACCACAAATGAAACGGATGCTGAAAAGGTTCTGCGCAGCCCCGCACTATCTTGAAGTATCAGCCATTTATGCTTTCAACCGAAGCCTTCTCAAGTCCTCCAGTTTGGGGCATCCTCTACAAGATACAGAGGAACAAATTACGGACAGAGCCAATCTTTCAGACAGTTAGGAATAAACGCGGTGAGGCCGTTGTTTCCATGTATACACTGAAAGACTTTTTGTTTCAAAATTTAATATGATTCATTTCAAATAGGGGTAAACGATGTTTTTAGGTTATATTTAATAGTACAAACGTATCAGCTTTTGACAAAGTAATACAAAAAATTAGTATGGTCCGTACCAATCTTTAGTATGAATCATATTAATAGTTGATACGTTCATACGATCAGTTAGAAGCGGGTGAAGCTTCGCTTCTTTTCCAAAGGACACGACACCGAGGTGCGATCATACAGACCGGTGTGCCTACTCTCGGTCTTTGGAGATTTTTGATCGACTACTTTTGGGATGGCTTAGGAAGACTGCCCTTGGCCTAGACGAAATGCTTCGGAAAACGAGAAGAGGTACGTCCTAGCCCTTCTTTTCGATATCACGGTAGTCTTTAACAATATCAGGGGGTCACTGGTTTTAAACGGCCTAACTAAACCAACTACCGAACATTGAAAACTATATACGGTGATGTATTCCCCTCCATTCCTGGCTATGACTTTGACAAATAGGCGCACTTTTCGATAGACAAAGACTTACTGATTTTAGTTTCTACAGTCTTACAATTCAATTTTTCCATACTCGTTCGCTTACGGAGCAATGGTATTGAGGAGGCTTGTAATTTCTTCATGTAGCGTAGTATTTTCTCTAGAAAGTAGATATAATCTGCTTTTAACATCGGAACTATAGTCAGTTATGGACCCAGGTATTCCAGTCGGCACAGCGTAATTATGTAGGGAAAATCTTGGAAACAATCGCTGACACTCGTAATCATTCGTAACTCCTCATGCGCTCTTTATTTATTAAATTATGCTCTCTATAAACCTTGTTTTTTCAATGGAATCGAGATATTGGTGCGCTCGGTCGACTATTGTCCGGTACACATCTTTAGAACTCGGTTGTCAATAAAACCGGCTGTACGAGTTTGTACTTATAATTCTCAAGTCGGTATCTAGACGCACTACTAATTGGTGTAATTGTTGTTCATTCTCTCGAGTCGTTCAACAGCTGATCAGTGTCCGATTCACGAGTCGTTCAATTTCTAGTATGCGCGCGCCGGTGCTCAGGGCTGTATAATTTAAACGGACCAAAGCCATTGCGTATTGTGTCTTTCGGGGCGATAAATATGCTTCACACATCCCTGAAATCGACCTGTAGGCGTGGCTTATGCGTTGAACGACTCGTGAGTTTTATGATCTTGAAAATTTTCGAGAATTGAACGACTCGCGAGAACTCACTGTATTTACATTAACATAAAGAAATGTAAAACGTTTATCTTCTTGCAGATAAAAAAATTAGAAGCTGAAGAAGTATCTTACTACGTGAGAGAAATTCCAAACAAACCACCACCTCCTTACACTCCTCCTAGTAGTGGTAAACTTTCCACTTCTCAGAGTTCTCCATCACCACCACCGGCAGTTATTCCTACAAATGTAGACGATCTCACGGTGTTTATAGAAAGAGCAACATCTATTATATTTAAAGCAAAAGAGGATGGTGAGAACATCATGAGCTTAGAAGCCCCACCTGAAATATGGGAGTTGAGAAAAGACAATGATTCTTTAAAAAAAGATAGGAGAATTTACAATACATTTCTTTTCGACCTCTGCAAAGAGACAATTGCCGAAGTTTTTTGCGTGAACGACGATAAGCCTGGTCCAAGTTGGACACGACCAAATGTTAAAACAAAAACAGCCATCAAAGTTCCAAAGAGTCTGGAAGAATTGACAGATTATGTGAATAAGGAAGTTGCCACACTTTTTGGTTTCAAGACAAAGTTGCAACGTGAAAATATGGTGATGCGGTGGAGTCGAAAACGTAGAGACAGAGTTGATGAATTACTTGCGAGGGAGGCACAAGCTGAAGAAGAGGAATGGACTAAATTTCATTACGATGAGTTAGCAGTTAAAAATGAGCTTACAGTAGCGATATTAGACAGTATCATATTAGAAACAGTGAATGTGGTTAAGACTGCCTTCACCAAGAAGCGTAAACTTAAAGTATAGCCGTTCTTGCGGTACAACAGTATTTTCTCAAAAAAAGCAACATCATTTTAAAAAAAGAAGCAGAATTTTCGTTAAACATTTTTAACGTAACTTACAGAATAAACGCTCAGACAAGTGTACAAAAATAACGGTTTCTAGATAAATATCGTTTATTCAATTTTGTTAGTTAATTTTACAGTAATATTTATAACTTGACTATTATTTATTGTTAAAAAAGTACTTTATTTTCTTAAACTGAAATAATTTTATTACAGTACTGAAACATTTCAGGGTTTTCTTTATCTCTTAATTATTAATTAGTAATTAATTATTAATTAATAGTACTGTTAACTATTTAAGTAGTTATAGCTTTAGATTTAAATAATGTTAAGTGTGATTTTTAATTAATTTTTGTTTTATTTTTATTCTTGTCGTAAGTACTTACAGTAGCAATGTATGCAAAAATTATTCAGAGACACATTTCATTAAAGGCAACAGTAATTACACTGGAACGTTGATTATATCTGACAATTTAGACGTGTGCATTTATAATTAGAGAATTGTCATTTTTAAATGTTGTTAACAAAGACACACGTAAAGTATTATACATCATTGGGAACTATTTATGTTAAATTTATTTTATCTTAACGTTATATGTATATATAGAGTTGTTTTAGATAGTAATTATTTTAAACATTTTATTACTTAACCACCAGAGTAAAATATTTTAATTATTTGCTGCACGATATTTATTATTGTTTAATATTAATTTTCGAAATATCAAGTAACCCAATATATCCGTAAACGTGCGGCAAATTTGCAGTGCAAGCTTGCTGAATTAGTTTGCAGGGCAACCTTGGAACAAGATTACATGCCATGCAAGCTTGCGCTGCACTCACATAGCATCGAAAGTCTCCTAAAAAATAAAATTTGATTACACTGTGACATTTGGAGTCTTTAGTTGCAAAGCTAATGAAAACTTGTGTAATAATTAAAATGACCGTCGTGAGAAAACGTTATAAGCGAACGTGGACTGAAGATTAAAAAGAAACTTCTGGACGTTTTAACTAGAAATATAAACAGGCAATAAAAGAATAAAACTAATTAATTGAAAACTATTGAATAATTTAAAAACTTAAAAGTTAACAAGACAGACTTAAATATAAATATGTATATTTTTTTGGAATTATTACATATGTTCTTATACTATCACGGAATTAAAATTGCTAAACTTATGTTCACGACTAACTTCACTTTCTGTCAATTCTTATTTTTACAAAAAATTACTTATTTGTTTTCTGTTTTTAATAAATTTGTCGAGCTCCGTAGAGTGGTACCTAAGAAGCTAATCATTTTAAGGTTATGTTTAAGATATTTTACCTTAATTATAACTTTTTGTCTAATTATGTAAAATATAAGTCATCTTTTATTAATTATTTTAGATGTAATGAAGACAAACATCAGTGGTTTCAAAATTGAGAGTTGATCTGCTTTGTTTATTTTCATTCCGAAAATTACAAACATAACCTAAAGATTAAAGACTCCAAAAGTCGTAGTATAACCTATAAAATTTTGGGAAACTTGATGCTTTGCGGGAAAGTTTGGTCGAAAACTTAAGGTTCAAATAGGTACATTCGGATTCGGTCATTTGGAAAATAAAGAATTACTAAATTTAGTCACATACACGCTTCGGTATAATCAACAATTGAGTGTAAATTGTGCATGATCAGTGAATGCAAACTGTACATAAATTCACGTTGTTTACTCGTTAATTATAAACATGTTACATTTCTTTCTCTGTTCTCAATAAAACTAATAATGTAGTGGAATAAACTTCTGTTACTTTTTTGTTTCGAAATAAGTTCATCATATGAGACATTTGAATGTGAATAGGATAAGAACTCCTTTAAATTTATAATATGTTGTGGTACTTATATTTACATATTTTGTTCTGAGCTTCCAGAAGCTGTGCTCAATTGCAGTTGTTGTTATTATAATACATAATTGTAAACAAAATTTTATAACCTAAAAGACTGATATTCGGGGCCATTTTTCATCCAAATTAATCTTGAGGACTTTCGAATTCTATATATGTAAATGTTGAAAATAAATAGAAAAAAAAGAATCGCACTTTTTCAAGTGCTGCAAATTTTCTCGGTGATGATATCAACAACGAAATAGTATTTTAGGTAATTTAAGAATTGTTCGAGTCAATAAAAATATAACTGATTAAAATAATACATTAGAAAATTCAAGACATTGTGAATTGTTGTATTGAATTATTTGACTGGTTACCAGCTTTGCATTTTTATATGAATGTAAATGTATTTCAATAACAAAAATGGCATTATGACTCGATTTACATATTGTTAATTTTTCTTTTATTAATGTGATGTAAATAAAATAGAATTCCCGTTTAATTGAATTTTGTAAAATTTAATTACAAGTTTTATAGTCCTTTATTATTTTCTTCCCTATTTTAATTTTTCGAAATTTTTTACAAAAATTTAGAGAAAAGTACTCTGAAGATGAAATAAATTTGTGCCACAAGTAACAAGTAAATTTTTAGCAAGCTTTCACGAACTGTTTCAACGGAAAGTTTTAGTACGAAAGTGCCGCGGCGCTCGAGTAAGCTTTAGTGGTGAAAATGAGTGATATTTCTTATGTTTATATTAAGGGCAGGTGGGAGAAACAGTTGTTTCGTGGTTTACTTCTCATTTAAAAAGAAAAGAATATTTTAGTCAGTTGTCAAGAAGGTGGTGCCAATTCGAGCTAGTGGCCGCGGCTGAACTGTAAAAATGTCTCAACCTCAAATTACTCCAATTTCAATCATCAATAAAATAATTTCCTCGCAAAATTATTGTAAAAACAGAGCGAAATTCCTCTATCACCCCTTCAAATATGAACCCGAAATATTTTATCCTCTCAAGATGAGACGTAATTTCCAAACCGTTCAAAACCCCTTTTTCGAATGTTTAAACAATTTTTCAAATAATTATTTATCAAAGTTTTGCAAAATTCCGAGAAGAGCGCGGATCACAGAGCGTTCCTCTTTATTTTCCAAAAAATCCCGACTCAAAATATACTTCTCTTTTTAAATGAGACGTCTATCAGGAAACCACTTTTTCTCCCGGATGCCCTTTTAATCATTCTGAAAAAGGGGAGTTACTTTTACTACTCATCTTTTAAGAATAAAATATTTCGGATTGGCGCATAATGGGGCAAAAACACGTTCGTGGACAAATTGATTTTTAGACCACAATTGAGCCTCCCAATTCAATAACTCGAGTTAACAAACACAAGTTTGTTAAAAAAACGTTTATTTAAATTGTATTCTCCAATTATCTCGAGAAATTATTTATTTTTATTTTTTATTATTATCTCGAGAATTTATTCGGGTGTCTACTAAATTTTCGTTCAACAAAATATTCCCAGCTTTGTCCTAATTTTTACTAGTTTTTTTTCTCATTAAATTTAAATAATATTTAATTATAAATCAATGAGTGCTGGTAATGACAGTTTCCTTTTTTCGTCGACAAACAGACTGCACGGAATTTTTTAATTGAACAAACTTTCAGTGAGAAATTTGTTTATTAAGAATCAAAGAAGTTTTTTGGAAAGTTTGCTGGAAATCGATGAGAAATTAACGAAAATATATTACAAAAGAAAAAAAACTAGATTTGTTTTTGACAGTTTTTTCTGAAACTCGTTAAAAAAATTTAATTATTCATAAAAACTCTAATAAAAATTTTGGAAGCAATTTGTAAATTTATTTATGTTCGAAATCAAATAAATTTAACCAATCCCCGGTCATTTTTAATATTTTTATCATCTATCGTCTTTAGCAGACCTTAATACGCATGCATACCAATTTTTGTAAAAATCCGTTAATATATGTTTAACTTATGACGATTTATTCCACACAGCACATGATATTTCCTAAATATTTCCTGAATATTTCACTGAAAGATTGAAATATTTCAGTGCAAAGTTCTAGAAATATTTCTGCAAACAGGAAAATGTCCGCTTATGTGGGAATATTGACGCGAAAGTTGAGAAAATATTTCATTGAAATATTCCTGCAATATTACACATAAAGATTCTGCAATATTGTGAAAATATTTCACAAGATGGAAAAATTTGTTAAACACTCTCATTAGTTAAGTCTCTCATTGCAATTTTACACATTATTTCAATAAATAAAATAACAGGTTATGGGCCCAGACCCTTCTCTACTGCGTTAAGATATTAAAAACTGAAGTTAAATTTGCGCAATCGACGCAAAAACGATTAATCGGAGGTGAAAATTAACCTCAAAATAGTTGAAAATCATCACAAAAACAAGCGTATTAAGGAGCATTCAGACCTCTGCAGGCTGTCTGGCTGCGCAGCCAGAAGCAATAAGAGTAAGGGAGAAGGTGTAATAAATTTGAATTTCCTTACTCACTTACTCTTGCACGTTACCATGGCAACCTGCAGGCAGACAGACAGGCTGCAGAGGTCTGAACGCTCCATAAAGCTAAACAAAAAAAAACTCAAGTTGAAAGTGCGCGCAGATTTCAAGTTAAAAGCTGAAAACTAATAAATAAGAGTGTAAAATAAAGTCGTGTAATGTGACTATGTGAGACGAGTGTTGTTTACTGAATGTTAGACAAAGACAAAAGAACCGTCGAATTGTTGAAAGCAATCAGTGTACAAGTGTAGTGTAGAACGAATATGGCTTCAAATTTTCAAATTCAAATGGAAAAATTAAGTAAGGATAATTATGACACATGGCGTCTTCATATGGAGGCAGTTCTTGTAAAGTATGATCACTGGGAGTATGTGGACGGAACCACAACTAGACCTGAAGATGATGAGGTTGCAGCAGCAGCGTGGGACAAAAGGGACAGGAAAGTAAAATCTGACATCATCCTCGGAATTAGTCCTACAGAATTAGGTCACATCAAGAACTGTACAACATCAAGAGAAGTATGGGATAAGTTAGATCTCGTTTATAAATCAAAAGGTCCAGCAAGGAAGGCGACCTTGCTGAAACAATTACTGTTTACAAAAATGAACGAGGGAGACAATATGGCGGATCATTTGAATAAATTCTTTAGTATCTTAGATAAACTAACAGAATTACAAATTGTGATTTCAGATGACTTGCTTACCATATTGTTACTCTACAGTGTTTGCTACAGTGTTTGCTAATTGCTAGACGAATATAACGCGAGAAAAGAACACGATACGCAAGGGGCTCATTACGTAAAATCATTTCAAAATCAAAATTATAATCGCCAAAAATCTAATGGATTTAATTTAAATCGAAATAAAAACCCCCAGTATCAACAAACACCACAGAAACGTTTCAATTGCAATTATTGCAAGAAATTTGGTCACAAGGCGGCTGATTGCAGGAAAAAGGCTGCTGATCAAAAACCATTTTCGTCGAATGCAACAGAAGAAGAAGAAGCTTTTATTGTCACTCACTTGGAAGACGATCCTGTAAATGAAAAAGCAACTTTCGCTTGTGCCTTTTGTGTCGAATCCACGTCAAACAATATTTGGTGCATGGACAGCGGTGCCACATCACATATGTGTCGAAATAGGAAGTGCTTTTCGGAAATTACGCAAGTTGAAAATCAAATGGTTAGACTGGCCGTAGACAAAACCACGCATATTCTCGGAAAAGGCACTGTTCATCTTACTTTGAAAAATGGCTGTCGAGAACAAAAAATTCTATTAGATAATGTACTTTATGTTCCTGAGTTGAAAACCAATCTTTTTTCAGTTTCAAAAGCCACAAGAGGAGATCGCATAATAACGTTTAATGAAACCGATGCAGAAGTGAGAAATAAAATGAACGAAATTATTTTTAAAGGTAAAAGAAGAGGTGAATTGTATCTTATTGAGCCGAAAAACGAAGTAAATAGTGAAACAAATCATTCAACGAAATTTCATGCCAAAATCGCGTTATTAACTACAGAACCGAAACCGGAAACAGAAACGTGTTCTACAGCTGAAATTTTAAATAAGTCAAGCGAAATAAATAAATGGCATTGGTGATTTGGACATCTCAACGAAAATAGTCTAAAAAGATTGTCGTCAGATCAAATGGTTAATGGACTCTCTCTCGACATAAACAAAAAGTTAAGCACCTGTGAAACATGCATCGTGGGAAAACATTCGCAGACACCTTTCCCGAAAGTTTCAAAATCTAGAAGTGAAAAATTATTAAATTCAATCCACTCCGACGTCTGTGGACCATTTCGAACGAGATCTCTTGGAGGTGCAACATATTTCGCTACGTTTATTGATGATAAATCAAATTACACTGAAGTTCATTTTCTCAAGAAAAAGAGTGACGTAAAGATAGCTTTCAACAAATATAAAGCTCTCGTGGAAAACCAGACAGAAAATAAAATTAAATTTCTACGAACAGACAACGGCTTGGAACACGTTGGGAAGGATTTTAACGAAAATTTAGACAAATGTGGAATAAAACGTGAGCATACCATCGCTTACACACCGCAGCAGAATGTAACATCGGAGCGCATGAATCGCACGCTCGTAGAAATGGCCCGCTGTTTATTATTTCATGCAAAACTGCCAAAATCCTTTTGGGCAGAAGCAAAAGCCACAGCTGTATATCTGCGAAATAGATGTCCCACAAGGAAATTACAAAATCAAACACCTTACGAAATGTGGTTTGGGATAAAACCCACTATCTCTCATTTGAAATCTTTTGGCTGCAAAGCGTATATGTTGGACAAAACACCGAATAAAGATAAATTAGAGTCGAAATCAATTGCTTGCATCTTCGTTGGATATTCCAATGAATCAAAGGCTTACCGTTTATGGAACCCGGACACAAGAAAAATATCACTAAGTCGTGACGTTAAATTCCTGGAAGATGTTTATTTGGGCAGCACCGCAACTGAAAAGAACGAGAATTTACCGAAATGGAAACCCGAGAAGAAATCCATCCTGAAGAAGAAAATGTTGGAAGATCAACGAGAAACGTCAACAAAGATCAATTTTGCAAAGATTTGCTGGAAATAAACAAAATAGATCCTGAAAACAATTCATCTGATTCCAGAAACGATTTAGACATTAAAGAAGATCCGCCATACACAGATATTCCGTGCATCAACGAAGTTAACCCTGTAAATAACTCAAATGGATCCGAAAGTGACTTAGACGACATCACAGATCAGGGTACGACAGAAACAACACCTTGCCTCACAAAGAGAATTTCTGGTCGACCGAAAATAGAAAGGACCGGACGAAGAGGCAGGTCGCGGAAAATTTTCAACGAAAAACTTCAGTATTCCGACTCATCATCCTTAACATACGAAGAACCTTCTAATCCATCCGTTCAAGAGGCCCTTGCTAAACCCTACGCAGACGAGTGGCGTAAAGGCATGAAAGCCGAATTTGATGCCCTTGTACAAATTGGAGCGTGGACTTTAATGAAACGTCCGAAGGAAAATAAAGTAATCGGATACAAATGGGTTCTCAGAACAAAATATAACACAGATGGAAACGTTGAACGTCGCAAGGCTCGTTTGGTGGCCAAGGGATATAGTCAGCAGCCTGGGACAGACTTCGACGAAACTTTTGCTCCGGTTGCCCGACAAAGTTCCATACGAATGATTTTAGCTATATCTGCTGAATTAGGTCTCGATCTATTCCAACTTGATGTCATCATGGCCTATATCAACGGCAATTTAGAAGAAAATATTTACATGGATCAAGCTGAAGGATTCATAGACCCGATCAACGAAAATGCTGTATATAAACTGAATCGATCAATATACGGCTTAAAACAATCTGGACGTCAATGGTTTAAGAAATTAGATCATAAACTCAAATCATTAGGATTGGAACCTCTCAGCTGTAACAAATGCGTATATATTCAAAAAGGAAATGGATTCATTCTTTTCGTCGTCGTCTACGTAGATGATTTAATCATTGCTACGAATCAACTAAAAGTTTTCGAGAAATTAAAAACTGACTTGACCGAAGAATTCGAAATAAAGGACTTAGGCAAATTACGTTATTGCCTCGGTATAGAGTTTAAACAAGATTCATCAACAAAATCAATTTTTATGTCACAAAAGAAATACATCGAGGACATCCTTCAAAGATTTGGAATGCAGGATTCCAAACCTGTGAATACTCCGCTGGAAGGTAATCTTAAGCTTAGCAAGAAAATGGAACCGAATACTGCCGAAGAAGTCGAAGAGATGAGTAGGATCCCGTATCGATCTTTGATTGGATCGCTTATGTATCTCGCTGTGTCAACGCGACCAGACATTGCGTACGCCGTAAGCACCTTGAGCCAGTTTAATCAGAATCCTGGAAAAATTCACTGGTCATCGGCAAAATGAGTTCTTCGTTACTTAAAAGGAACCAGCGACCTTGGATTGATGTTTAAGAGAACCGGTGATGAACTTGTTGGATTCGTCGATGCAGATTGGGGAGCAGCTCTCGATGACCGCAGATCCTACACTGGGTATATTTTTAAGCTTAATAATTCAGCCATTTCTTGGGAGTCAAGAAAACAAAGGACGGTGACCCTCTCCAGTACGGAAGCAGAATACATGGCTTTAACAGAAGCATCAAAAGAAGTTGTGTACTTGCGTCGTTTCCTGGAGGAAATTGGATTACCATTCTTCAATCATAAAATTCCAACGGTAGTTTTCTGCGACAATCAAGGAGCGCAGGAATTAATGAAAAACCCTATACATCATGCTCGCACAAAACACATCGACATCCGTCATCATTACATTCGAGAAGTTCTTGAGGAAGGTTTAATTGATGTGAAGTATTTGCCTACGACGGAAATGGTTGCAGATGTGCTAACCAAAGCTTTTTTCAGCCGAATCATAAAAAGTTTTTGGATGGACTTGGTGTTCAGAGTTTTGGAAGTGTAGCCTTGTGTTGAGAGGGGGTGTTGAGTTTATATATTTAATTTAAAACAACGCGCGTCTACACTATTCAGTGATTGTTATTCGATATATCGATATTCGCGATTCTCAATTTGTACATGCCTAACTTCAGTTAGTTGTATAAAAATGCTTTAACGCACAAAGACAATAAATTCATATTCTCATTAGTTAAGTCTCTCATTGTAATTTTACACATTATTTCAATAAATAAAATAACAGTGTCTACAATATTTACTTTACAAAAAAATTCCCAAGAGAAAAAAGTTGCGCATTTTCATGCTCTATAAGATAGTGTTTTTAAAAAAATTTTATTTTAACTTTTTTCATATTTTGGAGCTTTTGTCAGCCTTCATACTGATCGTCCGAGCGCAGATCGAGTTATTGATCTTATATTTGTCTGAAAGAAATGCTTTGTAAATTCCTCAAAATTTCCGTAAGAACAAGTGAAAACTGTCGAATTGAAAAAATAAGGGGTAAAAATAAGGTATACTACACTTGGTTGTTTCAAATTTGTAAACAACACTTTTGACAATTTCGCCATTTCAGAGATATTGACACTTGACCGGTTTGCCCCACTCTCCCCTACGTTTTTGAAGTTTCTATACAATGGACAAAAAAATATTTAAAATTAAATGTCAATTTAATATAAAACACACAAAAAGGAACTTTTTTTAAAATTTTAATAACTTTGACTAACGTAGCCGAATAGTGCTCAATAAGGGGTCAGAGATGCGATTCAAAAAGAGCTACAAATTTAAGAGGTAACATCACCCAGAGTACATAAAATATAGAGTCTGTTTTAATTAATTATTTTAAGAAAAGGGTACAGTATAATGAAATTGGGTTTTCCTTAACGTTAATAAGTAGGGGAGAGTCTCCAGTTGTGAGACAGTCAATTTTTTTTAACATGCAATATTAAAAAGCCGATTGGTTTATATAAAAACATTTCTTTTTATATGAGCCAACTTTTTCGTGTACGCCGAAGCGGATATATAAACTGTTTTTGTTAAATACCAACACTGTGTGTGATAATCGACTAAAAAGCGTTTTTTCAATAAATGCAAAGTACTTTTTTTCCAAGTTAATTAATTGGAAAAGGTAAATGTAATGCATTTTCTTTTAGTGTTTTCCTTATATTTTGTGATGCAATATTGCATTGTTCCAATCAACGGTTGAAAATAATTTAATTTTCCTTTTTCAAAATAGCGCCAATTTCTGGGTGTGAGACACAGCATATCACCAGTTGTGAGACGGTGTCAACACCCATCTGGGCAGCATAAAAAATACGACTTTGCAAGCATACTATTTAAATGTTGTTTTGATTTTTTTTCTAGTATATTTGGGCATGTCAAGTGGAAAAATGTCAATTGATTCAGAAGAAATCAATTTTAATGCTCTTGTTGAAGCTATTAAATTGTGTTTATTTGGTAGTCATATTTTGGCGAATAAATATTATTATTCAGTATATAATAATATATATTATTAATATATTTAATTATTTCTACTAAACATAATGTTTTATGTCAAACTTATTAAATTTTAGCAATTTTTAATGAGTGTCTCACAACTGGAGACATTTTTTTTTTTTGAAAAAAGCGATGTGCTTGGAAAATGTATTGTAAAATTTTTTGAGTTCATCGAAACACTATACTTTCTTTTAATAAAAGTTGCGTATTTCTGTTACCTTTCGAACGGTGTATTTTATTTACAATTTCGTTTACCCGTTTACAATTTACGGGTCAAAAATAAAACCCGTCTCACAACTGGAGACTCTCCCCTACATGTATCAAACTTAATTTAAAAATAAACATTTTTTTCTACCAAAAGGCTCCTTTACAACATTTTTGGCAAAATGGCGTGACTTTGATGACAAAAATATCATTTTTTGTAAAAGAAATTACGCAAAAAATAATTATATAATGGAAACGCATCAACCCTGAAAAATCCTATACGTATACTTCTCTAAAAAAAATAGTGTTTTAAAGCCACAGTCCAAATTTGAATTAAATCTGTTAAAAACCTTGGAAGAAATCCTTCCGGCCTTAGAAATTCTCCTGAAAAACGTGATTTTAGTTCAACTGTAGTAGAGGAGCATTTTATAGAAAAAAAATT